GGCCTTGAAAGTTGTGGTCTTTGGTGGAACCCGCTTGCATGTGAGAGGGTGATGGTGTTATAATGAAACACCCGGTCCCGGTTCTGTCAATTTCCCAGGGACTTGACTAGCATGTACTCGAATTTTGGAGATCCAAACACTGCCTTGATGCCCAACTCCCATTCTCTCTCTCTCTCTCTCTCTCACACACACACACACACAGATATACTGTTTCCCTTTGCTTGACTTTATTGCCTTCCTCTATTCTTGCCAGTGAATGAGTAGGTGGCCTTTTGGCTGAAACTACTTACATTGAATGAATAACATTACACTACTAGTTATTGTGTAGAAAGTTAGGGTGACTCTAATAAATCTTTGTAGTACTCTTACTATACATCCAATGAATGTGATTTTGTCACAAACAAATGGAAATGGGTGGGTTAATCTCGGCTCAGTTTTGGTTCATTTACTCAAATACGATCGAATTTCGAACTCGTGTGACATTCAAGTGGAATCTGTAATGTGTCACAAAACTTAATGTACACTCGATCTCGATTCATTTTATAATATAACATATAAATATTATAATGGTGAAAAAAATATAAAAATGTGATTTTGAATCAAGAAAATATATATTCTAATGATTTTAAAAATCGAAAAGCTAGAGTGGGTTGATGAACTGTGAATTAAGTGTGTGAGTTGAAAATTAAGACATGTAAAAAGACGCAAGTTTAGAGTAGTTTGTCTTGCTTAAGAACATGAGTAGTCTATTGGAATAATGGTTTTTGCTACAGAGGGTATATTGCTTAAGAAAGAAGAAGGGTACAACCGTTCTTTTCTATAACATACGTGTTCACTCCTACGTGTGATGTTGCGTAGATTTTATTTTTTAAATGGTTAACCAAATTGTCTGAAAATATTTGATTGTCAAAAACTTTCTTCTTAAACATGACATGAATTTTTAAAAGTGATGACGTGAGTTTCTAGAATTGATGGCTTCTTCTCCGATGTATACTTTGTTGGGAAAAATCTCCATTTTACACTTTAAGGTTGTTTCTAAGTTGATTGACTTCTAGGCCTCCGGGCCTGAATTTCTTTAGGTCGGTTGTCTTGACATGAAATTATATGAGCGACGCATTAGTTATGTACCTGTATGCACAAAGTGGTTATGACCCGAACCCACCGGCCAAGACTACCGACCTACTTGACCCATACTTAAATTATTGGTCAGTCCATTTTCTATATTGATATCATGCGTGGAAAACTGTACAGTGACAATGTACCCCATACCCCAAGTCACAAGCTTTGGCATTTTCAACCAAGGAATTCATCAAGAGGGTGTTTGGTTTGGGAATAAACAAAAGATGACCGTTAAATTATTCAGTCCATTTCATACGATACATGCAGATATGAATTTTTGATTTAAACTCTAATCTCGTGTTTAGTTCAACTTCGGATTGAGTAGGGATGGGGCTTACATGATTATTTTTCTTGATTTTATAAAAACTAAGAAAAAAAATACGTTGAAATACGAAATTAATCATTAAAAAAAATAGTATTTTAGAAGTTTAGTTAATTTTTATTGCAAGTTATACGTCCCCTACGGTAAATTTCTCCCACCGACAAGGGTATTAATCACACCCTAATCTCTTCGCTGAGTTGTGCTTATGCTTTATTTCACTATGCTTAGTTTTGTTAACTAGTCTATTATTTTTTAAACTTAATGAATATGAATTATCCACTATTCTCAATGCAATAAAAAAAAACCCTTGTTATAATCTACCAAACGTTTATGTGAGGCATTGAACCAGTACACATTAGAACAGGCCAAATTCCAATGGTCCCTTGCAATCCTCTTATGAAGAATACAGTAAGGCTGGAACCGCCCATGGCTATGGAAAGAGAAAGCTTACCCTCTTTGGGGTACAAACATTGATCATGCCAAGTTCAAGCAGCCTTTGCCCTCTTACTAATCTTGTTCAAAGCTTCCAAAGCCAGAATAATCATTGCCTTCCACAATCTTAGCTACCAAGGGGAATAATTATTCCACACTGACTTTTATTCTGCATATACTTTTCATGGTAAAATGTACATCAAGGAGATGTACTGTTTTATTTTATTTTCTTCCCCTCTATTTGTTTCACATTCTTCAAAAAAGTGTAATAAGAGATTTGGTTTTTGGAGATGAAGATAATCTTAAAGCATAATAACCGAACATAACCCTTATTGTACAGTTATTTACGTTTTGACGAGATATTTAAACGATTGAAAGTGATTGGGTATTAGAAAATAAACCTATATTCCATAAAATATCAACTTAGTAAATTAAATGGAATATTTGAAGAACGGAATTGACACAAAAAAAAACAAATGAGGCCAAAATGCCACCGAAATTATTTTTTGAGGGCCGCTGTGTAATTAACACTTTTTTAGTAATGGATAACCTGTGTTTTATATTTTTAAAAAGTTATTTAACTCCCAAAAGTTTGATCCGTTCGATTAGGCCCTCAAATTTAGAAGTTTCTAATTGTGCAAGATGATTGATCATGATTAAACAAAGAAGTTAATCTCTCTCTCTCTCTCCCTTCCTTCCTTCCTCTTTTTTTTTTTTTGGTCAAGCTCCCCTTCCTTCCTTAGTCCCATAATCTTTATAAACTCTTAAGTCTTGAGGTTTTCGCACTCTCATTTTACAAAATTCACAAATTCGACTAATTTATTCTCTTACTTCGTATATATTTACTTATTATTTTACTTAAATTTGTATTTGAGAATTACTGATTTAAGTTTAAAGATACATATCGAATTAGAATAATATTTATAAATTACAATTGCTATTTTAGGACTTTATTTATTTTTTAAAAAAATTAAATAGTTTGTCGCATAGTTATGCAGGAAATTTTTATTTCTTATATTTTATTTATATTAAACTTTTATGAGTGAATGTGTATCTGTATACATATAACATGATACTCTTAACAAATTCCTGCTATTTTTTTTTTTTAAATATTGACGTTTTTGCGCTGGTGCCCTTGTTTCCGCACCATGTGATCTAACTTCCTGCTTCCCTCACACCCTTTTCCTCCCTTTTTATTTTGTCATGAATAATACTAAATTGTACAAAAAATAAATAAAAAAATAGGAACCAAACAATAAAATATATTATATATATTACTCTTGTTTTACATTTACGTGTGTAAGCTAAACAAACTTAATATAAAAAAAGAGTCTAAAATTAAATCAATTTCAAATAAAGAGCTCAACTTCAATTCGTTTGAGAGATGAGTCGAATTCAAATTTAGAAGTCAGAACTCAAATAAGATATGTTTGAAGTTGATCACAATTTGATGTTGGGCTATTCTCATTTTCATGCCTATTAAATAAGAAATATAATATTTTATTTTAAGACTGTATTGAATAAAGTCTTTGATTAGATCCCTATATCATTGCTAAAAATATTTAATTAATTTTAAATTTTAAAATTTAATATTAAATAAAATTCAGTTTTAACTTTATGAATACATTTAATTAAATCTTTTAAGTTAAATTATTAAATTAAATATAAATAAAACTTTTCGAATTGTTTTCTTGGATATATAATCTTATAGTGAAGCCCATCTCATCCCACATCTGATAAGATTAAAAACACGGCTTCTGTCAGTAAGAACCGCAAAATCACAGCCAACCTGTGTTCGTGTTGATGTGATAACAACGCTCCTCAAACGCAGCCAATACATGAGAGAGAGCGAGAGAGCAGCCAAACCAGAGGAGCCTTTTGCATTAAATGCTGGGCCAGGGGCTGCCCCAACAGATTCTGCATGCTCATTTAATGTCCCTGCAGACCCCATTCCCCAACCACCCTCCGCCATCTTCATCACCCTTCACCGCCCTCATTCCCATCCGCATACGTAAATATATATATATATATATATGTGTGTGTGTGTGTGTGTGTCTGTTTGTACTGTACTCGTGTCAATCAATAATATTGAGTTTGTTTGAAATTATATGCGAAGAATTATAGCTTAAATTTTTTTATTAAAAAGTCAGAATTAAAAAAATTCTTTAAAATTATATGGAGTGTTCTTTAAAAAGCTCAAAAAATTCAAAATCCGTTTTAAATAACTTTTTATTTTTATTTTTTGATATTTTGTATAAAAATAAAAAAATAATTATATGTATATCTAGATTACGTATAATAATAATTCTCAAAATATATATTTCAAAAATTTTTACATCATTAATAATACTTTATGAATATAATAAATTAAAAAATTATGTACAACTTTGACAAAATTTTAAAAAGTCAAAAACTTTTTTTTTATAAAATCAGCTTGTTAAATCAGTTTAGATAAGCATTTTTTGAGTTCAAAAGACTGCTGCATAAGTTGATAAAAAAAAAAAAAAACTAAGGTTCAAATGAACATGGCTTTGTTTACTCGAAAGTCCTACAAAAATTATTTATTTAAGGTAGGTTCAAACATGCTTTGTAAAGTTCTGATATAAAATCTTGAAAAATAAATGAATTAAACCCCACTAATTAGGGATCTGAATCCACGCTACTAGCCTACAAGTAATGAAAAACTTGTAATCTTAGGGGATTTTGGTAAGGGGGTACGGCACTTGTCAAGGTGAGTTTAGGAAAAAAATAGTTTAAAAGATCTCCAAATCTTATGTTCGGATTAAAAATTTATTCTCTGGTTGCTAAACCTGACTCGTAATTGACCCAAAAATTAAATCCATAATTTTAGATTTTATCAAACCTAAGGGAGGAATGAGTTTAAAAAAAATGAATAAAAAAATAAAACTATAAAAAACAATTATATCCTTTAACATGAGTATAAATTTAATTAATTAAAGATAAAATAATTATTTAATAAATAATTATGATAAATTCGTAAATTTTATATGTATGTATTACATATCAAATATAGGTATGCACCAAATTAATTGTTCAATCTCATTTTTGTAAAAAAAAAATTGGGTTTAAAAGAGTTTGAAGAAACCAAAATTCATCCAAACTCCTCCTTCAAAATTCATCCAATCTCCTTCCCCTAAATTCTTCCAAACTTGGCCAAAAAAGGTTATGGATGCCAAGGGCAAAGCAGTAAATTTAAACTAGTGACAGAGACTAAAAGATATCAAAATCAAAACCCACCAAAGTTGACATAAAAATTTTGAGGAAGCTGCCGACAGAAGCATACAATTTGTCCAAACAAAGATAAAAACAAATCAAATATTTAGTTAGTGACAAATACACCCCTATTATTCATCATTAATATTTTTCTTCACTTGTCACCATTGAAACTCCCTATGCTTTCGTTCAAGTTCTTGAGCCAACTCACGGGTCAACCCGAGTCAATACCCGAACCACCACCATTGCATTGTGTTAAGAACATTACTCCGGCATTGAACCACCGTGGTCCACCCTTGTTCTTACCACCTGGCAAGGGTTGTTTCCAGCGCGGTTCGTTCTTGACTCAACACCCCCAAATTGCGAATTTTATGCTCCACGCACAAATCAACACAACCTTAAAACCTTAAAAACTTGGAACAAACATGCCCTAGTTAGTAAATTCATCGTTACATTATTAATCCTGTGAGACTCACGTGACCCAGATCAGCTTTCACATTGTAGGGCAGCTTTGATCTTCTGGACGGTGCATGATATGAGATTGTTGACCGTCTCCACAGATTCTACGGTGAGCTTGGCAGTAGGGAGGCTGTTCACCAAAATCTGAAATGCCACGGTCAAGAGGGACCCACTGATTCTATCCGATGAAGGGCCCCCATTACTGCTGGGCCCGTTCGCAGGACCATTACTGGCCGGCCCACGAGACCCTGGCCCATCTGGTACGATTGCAAATCCTGAAGGTAAGAGTGCCACGTAAGCTGAATCTCCACCGTTCATCACCACGTGCATTGCCGGAATGTCAACGGGCGCGTACACCACTAGCGACCCCGCCGCGTCTATGCATGTCTCCTGGAGTATAAGCATACTACTCTGGTTCGAGTTCATAGCCTGCATCATAAAAAGCACTCAAACTTCTGAATAATTTACATTACATGCCACTATTCTCTCTCCTCGTCTCGTTTGAGTTCATATACAGCAGCATAAACAGTTTCAATCTTGTCAATATTCACGTAAAATGCCACTGTTCTCTCTCTCTCTCTCTCTCTCTCCTCCTGATATGTCAGTGTCGTTACAGAGGAGAACTGAGTCAACAGGGAGAAAACTTCCATTAAAATGGTGACAGACCCAGAAAAAGTTAAAGCCAGTTTATCTGTGGTTTGACTTTCAGATCCTCCTAAAATAAACTTTAGGGTAAAATGGGGCAGGCCCTAGATTTCAAATCAACTGTCCTTTTTTACATACTTCCAAACGCCAATACTGTCCTTTACCATTCTTCCTCTTATCCTACACGACAACTTCAATCAAGTAACCAGTGCACGCATACGTGTGTGTGTGTGTGTGTGTGTGTGTGTGTGTGTGTGTGTGTGTGTGTGTGTGAGAGAGAGAGAGAGAGAGAGAGAGAGAGAGAGAGAGAGAGAGTACACTGGCACGGAGGAGGGAGACGCAGTTTCCATGATCTTGGCCTTTGGCAATATGGGCCATTTCTTGCATGGGACCACCGTTGGATAAAATGTCCCACTCGCTTCTCAGCCGTTCATCACGCAGAAAATCAAAGAGCCTTTGAGGGGACACAGGTAGCCAAACTGAGGTTGCAGCACTCAACACGATGCCCGGTGGTTCACCGGGGTCGTCGACGCTCTTTCGGGTCATGACCCGAACATCTTCATCCACATTGCCAGAACAAAGCTTGTTCCATTTGTGGACTGTTGAAGCACACACCCCGGCACAGAAGTTATCCGTCATGCGCTGTGCTAGCTTCAGCATGCTTCTTCTCCCACTTGCAGTTATAGCTGTGCATGCACAAGTTCATTGTTAAAATATAAATCCTATATTTTTGGCTTTTATATAACAAGATTGATTAAACATTGGAAAGGACTTCTGTGTACCAGTGTGATCTCTTGTTGGCACGGCGGAGGACATTAGAATGGCCAGGCATTCACATTGGCGTTGAAGAGTTGCAACCCATCGTTGGGCACCAAAGCCCATGCCAGCGCTGATCAAGGGCCGGTAGAGCTGGTGAACGGCACTCTCATCGTATTCAGCATGTTCCACCCACGTAACCTGCACATTGATTTAGAACATTTGAATTCGATAGTGAAAATAATAAACAAAGTAAAAGAATATAGTATGATGACTTTCATATTGACATGTTTTGATTAAATAAAAAAGAATGGTTCCAAAGGCTACGTAGTAGGACCCCATAAATACTATTATTCATCTGCAACCAATGGCTTACCCTAGAAGTCAACCAATGCTTTTGTAAGGGCCTTTATCTGATGTTTTTTTGGCAAAAGCTTTGATATACACAACTCACTCATGACCGGTATGTGTACTCTATCTAGGGTGTTAAATCATATGATAAGACTCGTTAACATAATACAAAATTTGAAGATTTGAATTTTCTTTAAGTCACCCACTTTGTAAACAAGTAGACCCACTTTGTAAACAAGTAGACCCAATACAATATAATTAATAAAACGAATCGAATATAGATGAAATCAATCAAAAAAAAATATCAGACACGATTCGTTTATATATCCATTATACCCGACACGAACCCGTTAACACTCAACATAAATCCGCATCACCCAATACAATTGACAAGCTTAAGTCTCTATATGTGAAATGAAAATAAAATCATGTTGAAATAGTGAAGGATACAAGCTTCGTTTATTCAGCTAAGGGTCATGTTCAAAAACACCATGCGTGATGGACCCCGGGAAATGGCTCAAGATTGGGCTCTATAAGAGAAGATTATATAACATAGAACCCTAGTATAAAGAGGCATAAAATATTGCTACATGAAGTTCAGGCAGATTTGAAGGCACGAGGCAGACTGTAAAGGGTGGCATAGAGATATGTATAGTCTATCTACCCACGAAGACTGATCCTCACGTGACAACAAAATAGCCAGTCTCGGGGTTTGACTAAGACGTAGTCATTTAGCACAAAAACAAACACATCACAAGGCTGGAACCAGTTAATGCACAGCTAAATAGATCAAGTATAGACAAGGATTGTGATCGAGACAGCATCAAAGATCGGAATAGAAACATCAAATATATAGTTTATTCAACTGATATGAAATTAATGTGTCCCAAGGTTCAGAAATAAGAGTAATAGAGGCTTCTACTCATAGAATAATCTGTGTAACCTCGATTTGCAAGTGGACGGGGTTCATATAATAATATGTCAGGCTTATTTTAAGCAACCCAGATTCTGGAAATCGAAGATTATAATATAATTTCCACCACATTGAAGCATCTATCTAAATCAGTAAAATAATGTTTAAGAAGGTTCAGATTCGATTCAGAAAGATCTCAATGTATTTGATTGGGACACACCATCACCGAGACTGCAGTGATGTTGTAAATAATTACCAGACAAACAAAATTCTTAGATGGATGAGCTCAATGGGATTAGAAATGCAAAAGCTCATGATTTTGACTGGGTGCTAATTTCTATTAAATGTTCTCAACGAAGTTCCAAAGTTGCAGTTTTGCTTCAACAAACTCATTAAAGACTAAAAGGCAAGACTCTACCCACCAAGGAAGGCCAATAAATGTGAAGAAAACAAGTTTGGAGCTGTAAAGCAAGTTACAAACCAACAAAAAATTGCTGCAAATTAGTTATGGTGACACAATTACCTTGGAGTACCCATTAGGCATATCTTGCACCACACAGCCAGAAGGAATCCTCCGGCAGCTCAGAATCGCCGGTGCACCTGAAGGTTCTCGGATGGTATCGATAGAAACATCAACCACAGCCCACACCCCCTCCGCGTGCTGCTTGCAAAAGCGCAGGAAATTGACCTCGCGAACAGGCACCAAGGGCGAAAGGACTTGGAGTTCCGCATGCATCTGTGGTTAATAAGAAGGAAACATCAATTTATTCATCAGACTGACATTTGTTTAGAAGTATTCAAACACATACTAAGAGTGTTACAACAAAACATTACCAGCTGCAATGCACCATTCCTGGTGCCCCCCATTCCACTAGAAATCACATCTGTAGTAGAGGTTCTAGCAATCATACAAGGAAACATCTCCGCCCATTTATTCTATTCGTCATAACACAACCCAAATTAATCATCCGACAAGAGAAGAACAAAAAAATATATATAGAAGCACTACATAACCAAGCATACAAATGCAAATCACAAGGAATTTAACCACAATCAAGCCAACACTCCTGCCAATTTCACAAATGAAATGAAATCCCAAGAGACACTTGAAGACAATTGGAACTTGTAGAAACAATCAAATACTTGTAAGTAATATTAACACAATACACAAAATGGATATAAAAATAAGTGAAAAATAAGTTTGATTACTCACAGAGTCCATTAATGTCTCCACTAGAGCCAAACTATTGATGATTACCATACCAGTCTCCCTTGAAGCCTCGGTAACAAAGCCATTAGGTTTCAAGCCAATACAAGGACTAAATATTCTCAAATACTCATCATGGTTCATCATTTCTCTTCCCCCTTCCAAGCTCCTGAACCAAAGAGGCTCGTCAGTCTGAGCCACCTTAACCAATTCCTCCATAGCAGCCAAAGCAAGCTCCAAATACATAGATCTCTCAAGTGATCTCTCGATCCCCGTCCCACCGGTTGTTCCTCTCGCCGGAGGCACCACTGACAAAGCACTTGAAATCCCAACACCAAAATCAGAAGGCCCCAAAGGCAATGTCGTTGCCACTGTACTTAATCCTACAAATCCATTGCCACCAACTCCAAGTTCCAAGCTTGAGTTTGGCATTGGAGGACCTATTGAACTGGCCATGGACGAAATGGGCCGGCCTAAAAACTTCCCGGCAAGCGCGCAAACCCGGTCTAACTCATCTTTCAGCCGTGCATTCTCAATCCTAAGGTGTTGTTCTTCCAAGGATATGTCACCGATTATCGCTGGACCACCACAGTTGGTGCAAATAGGGTTCCTCATCGCCTCTCTGATTGACATATTTTCAGCTCGAAGCCTATCATTCTCTTGCCTAAGTATTGAATTCTCATGGCGTTCGAGCTGAGTCTGGTGCAATCAAACAATCAACTTTCTCAGCGACTCAATACATAAAACACAAATATAGATCAAAAAGACAAACGAAATCACTTCAAAGATTCGAATTTAGAGCTTACCTTCATCTGGGTTCTCCGATTTTGGAACCAAAACTTAACTTGCCGGGTCTCTAAAGAAAGCCTTCTGCTAAGCTCTAACCTTTGTTTTTCATCTGGATGAGGACACTCCTTGAAGAGCCTATGAAATCAAACAAAGAAAATCATCAAACACTACTCAGAAGAAACACAATCCTTCATGAAATAAAGAAGTAAATCATACGATTCGAGTTCTTGGATTTGCTGTGGGGTGTGTCGGTGGTATCTCTTCTTTCTTGGTGGTTTGTCGGCCGCATCTAGATCGTCTCCGGAAGCACCCTCCATGTTATCACTTCCAGATCTGCTCTCGTGCTCTTCATCTCTGCTTCTTCTCCCAGTATTATTAGACTCATAAGTCTCAGGCATTCTTGTCAAATCACCTTGACCCTCCATACTCGTTTGCTGCTCAAAAAACCATCACACAGAGAGAGAGAGAGAGAAGAAGAAGAAGATCCAGATCAGCAAAAAACAGAAGGCACCACTAAACAAAAAGGGTCAAGTGAGAGAGATGTTATTGAGAGAGAGAGTACAAGAGCGAGTGAGAGTCCAGGTGGGTTGAACATCGACTTGGCTATAGAGTGAGAGACAAGGCGTGGCTGAGCAATTGCACCAGTGGGCATGTTGTTGCTGTTATCGCTGTTGCTGTAAGGTATATCGGCAAAGATTCTTGCACCGCCACCAACACCAGAGCTACTATCAAGAAAACCCCCAAAACTCATGAAATAAAGCCCTTTCGTTTCTCTCTCTATTAATCACTCTCTCTCCTTTTATTCTGCAAATCTCCAACCACTGCTTATGAACACAATGTTTACACACGCCAATGAATGATACACAGAAGAAAACTCAAAGAATAGAGAGGCAGAGGAGACACGAGGATAAATCCAAATGTCTCCAACTTCCTCTCCAGAAAAGCTTGAGAGAAAGAAAGAGAAAGGCGGCAAGCAAAAATCTTTTATGCTGCTTAGCGCTTCCTTCTCTATCCCTCTCTCTCTTAAACCCTCTTTCCCTCTCTAAATCTCCCTGAGCCTCTCTCACACTCTCTAAAACTCTCTTTCCCTCACTGAATCTTTTTGGGTACTCGCTCTTACCAAGTGGGTAGAAAGAATCCCCTGGAATACCTTAAGAAAACCCTAGTTTAGGATTGAGAAGGTTTCTGTTATCACTGTCTCTGCATGCTTGACTTGCAAAAAGCTTTCTCCATGAGCTCAGAGAGGAGACCTACAAGGGCAGAAAAAGAGAGAGAGATAGAAACGGCTTAAAAAGTTTGTTTCTGCGCCGAGAACAGTGAAGACGAAAAAAGGTGAAGATAACATGCCAATGTGTGGACATTTCGAAGCCTTACATATACATACAACCAAAAAATTACAGAAAATGGTTGGTTGACTCTCTCACTCTCTCTCTCTCCCCAAAATTATCTCTCTCTGAAAATCTTGTGCGAAGACTCTGAAAAATGTGACCAGTTGGACTCTTTCGGCTGTAAAAAACCTGTTTGACAGAGAGGAAGAGGAAAAGACAGTGCTGAATCAGATCCCTGTATTTTTCTCTTCTCTCTCTCCGGTTGAAAAAATATTAGAAATGGTTATAGTTTAAATAGCACGAGAGTTATAAATTTACACATTCTTGTTTGAATTTTGATAATTTAATAAGTTTAATGGGACTAAAAAGAAAATTAATTAAAATATTTATATATTAACTTGACTACCCTTTATCTTATGATAAATAATTAATCCTTGTCATGGAGTACTAAGTAATTTTTGAGATTTTTCGATAAATTTTGTACCTGTAATTTTTTAAAGATAAATAACTTTTCTTCGACGAGCAACACCTCATAGTACTTATTTTTTCTCCAAATGTATAAGTATATAACAAACATATAACAATAATAATCATATGGCTCAAGATTATGGAGAAAATGTGTTTAATGTTATAGTTAATTTACCAATACGAGCTAGAGGAGAGAGAGAGAGTATCCAAAGAGCAGCAAGAGAAAACTTATGCGAGGGAAAGAAATTATTGAAAAAAGAATAAATTAAGATGGAACAACCAACCAAGTGTGACCTTTTGCAATATTCGATCCTGACCTCCCCATTGAATTTATCATTGGTGATCAACGGCCTTGCCATAGGGTGTTATCTACGAAGAAAAATATTATAATTATGCAGCATCAGTGGATTTATTATAATTGATGATCGAGTCGAGTTGATCCAAATTTGAGTAGTTCGACTTAATTACCAATTCTAGATTCCACTAATTTGTATAATTATTGCACGAGATAATTTCTACAATAGTAGTGAGACAGCGATCTTCAAGCTGGCGAACCTGAAACCGTAAAAAAAAAAAGGGTCAGACAAGTGCCCGGCTAATTCTCTCCGAAGCTTAAATCAGTATAAGGTCGAAGGGTTTTGTTCAATGAACTATTTTCTGGTTCAAGTTTGCGTACTTTTGTCCATTTTTATGAGGATTATTTATACCTGAATTGACAATGATTGTTAGAGATCTCCAGTCTTATCTGGACATCTTACACCTGACACACCATTTCTCGTGCAATGAGTGTTTTCTACTCACGTCTCTTTCTATTGAATGCTAGGAAAGTAGGGTAAATATTCAGTCAAATGCAGAGCATTTATGTCACTCCCCGAGTATCCAAATTCTCCAGATCGGCATTCGACATCAACTGCGCAATGAATACTCGGGAGGAACAATTTCTCGGGAAAATCGATCGCGTTATCTCAGCTCATCGGCCATTAATACTTAGTCAACATGACAGTAGGCTTAGACTCCCAGAGGACAGGTGCTGACAAGTTCGCATTTATTTGTCTTGTTACTATCACTCATTCCACCATAAATGAGGGGTTACATCGCATTAAATACGATGTCAACTATAGTACTCGGCTGCTCCGTGTCACCACACCTCGGCTAACCTCCTCGGCACTCTTTGGATATCCCAACGACTTCATTATTCCACGTATTAACCTGGAGGTTGTAGAGCCAGCTAGAGTCCCGCCAACTGTCCCTCAACTGTCATCATTTTCGCAGTGCAAGACAAGTGGCATAAAGAGATTGAGAGCTCCATAATAACGCATTATTAATAGCGACGGTTACTCGCGCGTTTGGTGTCGCCCTTTTTAAATGTCCTAATGATGACCCAATTTTTCGATTCTCGCTCCCTGTGAGGCAGTATAAATAAGAGGTTTTCATACCTTCTCAGAACTTTTGCATCCTCAACCTCTCTTCAGCAATCAGACCCCGAGTGCTCCTCTGTTCTCCTCCGAGTTCCCTTCACCTTCTGAGCTCTCTTTTTGAAGACCACCTTCCTATAAGTACTTTTACTTGAGCTTTTTTTCTCTGTATTTCGTCCTTTTAGCGTCCACCAATGACTAAAACTAGTAGAACCAGAGGGGAGACGTCTGTTAGGGCTAAGACTATCCACAAGATGAGGAGAACCCAAGTGATCGATGAGAATATTCAATCCTTTAGAGTTAGATACCACATCCGTGAGCCTGTCTTCACTTTTTTCTTCGACCCCACTCACCATAGGAGGCATGTGAGAAATGTGGACATGATGCCTTTCTGGACGAAGACCATCATGAAAGGAGGATTGACATTCTCTTTCCATCCCCTATTGTTGGGCGGGTTAATGCAACTAAAACTCTTTCCCCTTCAATGTGGGGTTAACTTTTTTAGGATAGTGATGGGCGTAGTCGTCTTAAACGCTCGGCTGGGGACCAACTTAGGAGTAGATAAATTTTTATTTTGCTACGACCTGAGGTTAGTTGCCGAGGGGCGATATTACCTCTAGGCTCGAGACGTCTCAATGTATCTAGTAACCCACATGCCCGACTCAGACAAGAGGTATGTAGACGATCTGAGCACTTGATCAAGTGGCTAGTGGGTACCTCCTCCATGTACTGCCCAGACTTATATGCGAGGGGGGAAGACGACTCTTTTTCGATGTGGAACTGACTCCCAACTGGCAGAGAGGTAAAAAGGCTACTGGCACAAAGCGTAGGCTTACGCCAAGTCAGCCATAATCCTTCAGTGGGAGGAGGACATTCCGAACGCGCGGATAAATCCCCTATAATTACCAATAACTTCCACATTCAACATTTCTATGCAAAATTAAAGTGGTTTACTTATTTTATTTGTTTATTTAATATTAATTGATTACACTACCATAGTAACGTAATTTACCTGTTGCATTAAATATTTACTTGTTATGTACATCTCCTCTTTGTAACTACTTCTCGCAGCAAACCATTCAAGTGTATTGTTTGATGATTGTTTTTTTTTTTTTTCTCATTTTGGCATATGGCATTATTAACTTACATTATTGAAGAAACATTAGTTGGCAATAACTTAAGCAGTTAAATGAAAAACTACAATGCAACAAAAACTTTTTAATGTCAAAGGAGGCTTCATCACATTGGCACCAATGTTCGAGTCACGAAAATAATTATTCTGTATATTGGATAAGATTGCGTAAATTTAATTTTTTCTAAATTATGCAGCTGCGGGAGCTTGGTGCACTAAGTAATTGTTTTTTTTTTTTTAAAAATTCTTGATAGTTATTGTCTTTTATTTTACCACCATTGTCCCCAAATCGATTTATTAGTTTACTTGAGAATATTTTCAACATCATCAGCTTTATTTTTTCCTATTGAAAAGGGAGTAATGTGGCAATCTCTTCGTGATATTACTTTGAAGTTTCCATCTGTAGTAGATAGGGGTGTCCACTGGGCGGGGTGAGCCAGGCCCGCGAAATATTTTTTTAGGCGAGCCTGAGTAGTATAGGTCCAAGTCTTCATCCAAGTGAGTTATCGGCCGAGTCGGGCCGGGTTTCGGATACAAGTAAGCTACTCGCAATCCAACCCACAAGCTTATTGGGCGGGCTTGCTATGGAGTTTTTTTATATACAATTTTATTAAAAAATAATGAATATTTTTGTAGTTTAATATTTGTATAAATTATATTTTTGAATTAAAAATAGAGTCAAAATGGATAAAAATAAAATAATAAATAATGTTATTTTTGATTAGGGGATGAACTACATCTAATAGAATGAATACATCCAAACTAGATTATTTATTATTTGCATTACTCTAACCTTATTTATAATATCTAAATTTTAAAACTTCAAATTCTGACATCGGGAAACTTATTTTAAAATTTCAAATTTAATGGTATAAAAATATATTTTTTTTTCAGATGAAGGATAGGCGGGTTGGGCTTTTTGGGTCCTGTAATGGGTTTGAGGGTAAACTCAAACCCTTTTTTAAAGATATTGGATTCGAGTGGGCCAACTATTGAGTTTATTAGGGTTCAAACCTATTTTTTTTTGAGTCGGGTAACGGAACTCATAGATAACCTCCTATGGACACCCTAGTAGTAGAATGTTCGATTTGAACCATAATTATTGATCTGGGATAGTCGTGTCTGTCACAACAACACTACCGAGAGAAAGTTGGACATTTAGCCCCTCCAACATTTTTTGGTTCATAAGAACTATTACCATAAGCGGGTTCAAACCATTGACCATTGAAGTTCAAGACTTTCATCGCATTCAATTTCATTATCCCACAAAATCCTCAAAATCGTTAATGAACATTGCCTCTTATCTTCCTAATGTTGTCCCTCAACCTGTTGAAAAATATTATTTGGAGCTAATTTAGAGACTTAATCTACGAATCTAATTAATGGTAATTGTTGGATTGAAAGTGAGCTCAATCTAACGATGTAACTTATATCTAATCTAATTATTGCATTAAATTATAATTCAAAATAAATTCTTATGGCATTATTGTATTTTTTGCCCAATTTTCCTTAATTAAAGATCACATGTTTTTAATTCAAGTGTACATAAGCAAATCTCCCACCAATACAAGCTAGTAGTCTAATAAGAAAAAAAATTAGAAAAATATATTAGAGGATATTAGAATCTATAATTTGGGATTTTTGCACTGTGCACGCCAAAAAATTTCTTGATTCTCACTTTGCACCCTGAAAAATTATTTTTCTCACGTTGAATCTTGAATGTCATAAATTAATTCCAATCTGACTTTAGACTAACATTCGTTTTAAATTTTATTAAAAATTGATGCACATGCCACCCAAAGATATACATTGTGAGTTTATATTTTTACCCAAGAGTAACATATGTCAGTGGCAAGTACATCAATTTTTAATAGAAATTGAAACGGATGTTAGTTCGAGAACCATATTAGATCCATAACATTCAAGGTGCAATGTGAAAAAATAATTTTTTGAAGTGCAAAGTGCAAAACACTCCTATAATTTTAGTGTATATAATTATATTTGACATTTTGATATATCTTCATAGTACGAACAAAAACATATCTCCGCTACAATTATTTTGTCCATGTATAAGGCAAGCAAGGCATTTTTTTTTTTGTTAATTCAAAAAAAAACCTTCGATTGGTATCCCTAGTATTTTGATTTTTAATTTTTTTTTAATATTAAATGTTTTATAATGCATTCCACTAGGAGATATTACACATATAAATGTAAGAACAAAATCTTATATGCACTTGATTATCCTCCTTAAACTTTCAAAAAAATTCTCCTCCTCCTCGGGCTATATATGCTAGATTCACCTTTATTACCAATTATTAGTAACTAAAATTGGAGGTTATGGGATCAAGGATCATAGCTAAACTGTTTTTCGTGTTTATTACCGTTTATTATCAATTCTCTTGTCAGCTTGATTAAAAACAAATCATCTACATTAGAACAAGACAATTAAAAGAAATATTATATAATTCAAATTTGTAACTTAAATTTGCATATTAAATGAAAAGAGATAATTAAATGAGTAGGTCCTATCAATTTTTTAAAATAAAAATCACAGATCCAATAATTCTTATGGATTTAAAATGCTATTTGGGATCCGAGTTTGAGTTACACAGTATTGCTCGACAATTAATGAATTAAAATTCAAGACTTGGCCCCAAAAAAATTAACAAATTTTAAATTTAAAACATCTAGACTAAGAGTTCATCGATGATTCCATCGGACTACCTTAGGGTTGATACTCAATCTTCTGCCTCGACTGTTTACATATATATGTTGATTGATTGTAACATGGAGCACTTTGCCAGCCATTGAC